AGCGGTATGTCAACTCCGATTCTACCTCCCCTGAGCTCCGGGAGCACCTGGCCCAGAAACCTGTCTTCCTGCCCAGGTGAGTGGCCAGGCTGAGCTGTGACAGGACCTTAAAGAGCATCTCATTCCAACTCCCTAGGCCAGGTTGCTCCAAGGCCTGTCCAACCTGGCCTTGAGATCCACCAGCTACATCCAGCCTGCTAGTGCCGGAGCGTGAGCATGAATTCCAAGAGAGTTTCTCTGGTTTGCAGGAATCTGAGGCGGATCCGTAAGTGTCAGCGTGGTCGGGAGCAGCAGGAGAAGGAAGGGAAAGAAGGAAACAGTAAGAAGTCCATGGAGAATGTGGAGAGCTTGGACAAGCTGGAGTGTAAATTCAAACTGAACTCCTACAAGATGGTGTACGTGATCAAATCGGAGGATTACATGTACAGGAGGACCGCACTGCTGCGAGCTCAGCAGGTAGGAGCCAGCAGGAGAATTGGGGTGGGAGAGCCAGTGTTTCCTGGGATCTGGGGGAAGGGAAGGAAGCATTGCCTCTCTGGCTGCTCTGGAGCTGTAAAAGTTTGGGTGTATTCAAGATGACAAGAGCTTGTGACTCTGGATTGGTGAAATTCAGGAGGATTCCATTGGAGAAAGCTGATTTGGTCATATGAATGCTTTGACAACTCTCCTTTTCTTGTCCCATGGGAATATTTCCATCCACTTTAGTCATGTGTTTAGATTTATAAAACAACCACTGGCCATGTTTCTTGCTGATGAGATACAAATGATGGCTTTATTTCATTAGTTTTAAAGGAATTCTGTTAAACTTGCATCCACTTCAGATGAGTGTTTTATTGCAGTAGGGACTCTTTGAAACGCTGATAGTGAGGATTTTGATTGAATTCCATCTATCCCATTCAATTGGCACAAACCTCAAGAAAAAGCAAGCTCATAAACAGAGAATCTGAACACAGATTCTTGAAGTGTTAAATGTATAGTGTGCAGCATAGCCCTTGGTTACTGGAATACATTGAAGGATCTGTGGAAGCTACATTGTATTTTGGATACAAATCTATTGGATTCAGCAGTTAACACCACAAAGCAGTCAGTCTTTGGGAGAAGAACAAAACAAATAATAAAATCCATAAGTTTTAATCTGGAAGTTTAATTATATTGGCTGTTTTCAATTGTGATTGTAGCCATGGCTTTATACCACCTGTCTGGTATTTTACATTCCTTAGGCAGACACTTTTTCTCAAAAATGTGCACAGTTCTTCCTCTCCTGATGTTTCTGTTAAGACAGAGCTTTCTCAAGCCTTTTAGACCTGACCCAAGTCTTAATTTTCCATAGTATTGTGTCCCCAGTATGTGCAGTGCATGCTGAGCTTGCTCTTTCTTGGGACTGTACCCCTCTGTGGGAACTGGAGACAGACCCTGAGGGCTGGGAAGAGCAGGGCTTGCCTGGTCCTGGGTGCTGGAGGAGAAAGAATAGGAGACAGCAGCATCTTCTGGGCAGTGCCCAGAAGGGACTCTCAGCTAGGCATGCAACTTTCAGACTCCCATGGGCTGTGTTCTGTATCCCCAGCCTGAGAGCTGCTGTATTAAACAAAGAGCATAAACCTTTTGATATTTCTGAGCCCATTTTGCTACTAATTTTCTTGGTAGAGGAGAGCTGGGGGACCTTAATCAGAGCTTTCCTTCTGTCATTAGCCCATTGTCTGCGTCACCAATTCCCTCTGTGTCTGATCCCCTTGGTTGTGTCAACCAGTAGCCAAGCTTTGTGTAACGCTGCAGTTTCGGGGCCAAAGCTGCCTTTTTCTAACACCTCTCCCTGTTTCTGTAGTCCCACGAAAGAGTGAGCAAGCGGCTGCACCAGCGGTTCCAGGCCTGGGTGGACAAATGGACCAAGGAGCACGTGCCCCGCGAAATGGCAACCGAGACAAACAAGTGGCTCATGGGTGAAGGGTTGGAGGGCTTGGTGCCCTGCACCACCACCTGTGACACAGAGACCCTGCACTTTGTCAGCATCAACAAGTACCGTGTCAAATACAGCACAATATTCAAGACACCCTAGAAGTCCCCCGGGGCGAGGGAAGAGCCCGGGAGATGTGTGTGTGTGTGCGCGCGCATCCAGGGAAGGAGGAAGATGCCTTTCTCCCCTCACTGTGTATCTCCGTAACATGGCCACTTGACTAGTGCGTGGCTGGTACAACCCGTCACCAGCGGGATTCCCTGTGGGGATGTGGATCTCCGCCTAGGACCGCGGGCTGCCGGCCCTTTCTGGGTGAGAAGGGCCCTTCTCTGAACTGAGCCATCCCAGAGAAACATAACAAGCTCGTACACACCAGCAGCGTTGAGGCTTTGACTCCCCGGAGGCCCTAAGCGGCGAGGAAGGAGAACTGGATGCTCTCCATCACTGGACCACTTGGATGTGTCCCCAAAATCCCCAGGTGCCTGTCACCACTGGATTCTCCTCCCTTTATGGGCTCTGGCACGGGGCCATGGGGCAGCAGACCCTGGGTTTTCTCGCTCCCTCTTCTCCCTCCCAGGCTGGACTCACCCCGTGCAGATCGGTCTGTCCTTTCTAGTGCCAGTGGAACTGTTTTATTTTTATTTTGGGTTGGTTTGGTTTTTTTTTTTTTGTACCTGCTTGTTTACTAGACTCTCCTAGTGCCATGCACCAGCTTTTCACACACATGTACGTACACACACACAGCAGAGAACAACACGATTTTAACATGTTACCCTCCTTTTTTGTAAATAAATGTACAAATTGTCAATTTTTGGGGGGTTTTTGTTTGTTTGTTGGTTGGTTGGTTTGTTTTGTTTTGTTTTTTTTTTTAATTAAAGAAAGTATGCTCGATGTGCTAGCATAACTGTACTAGCTTCTTGTGTACCATAGTACCAGGTGGCTTGATAATTAGTACTGACAGACAGACCGATGGAGACATTTATTACACTTTTTACCAAAGGGAGTTACCATTGTAGTGCTTTTGTGTGGAAACTTTTTTCTCCTTTTTTTGTAAATAAAAGAAATAATGTCTTTGTTCTTAACTGGAGGAAGACACTCGCTCACCCATGGTCTGAAAGGCACTGTGCAATATACCATTTTTGGGGTGGGGAAGGGGAGGGAAAGGAGGTGTATGAATTTTATAAGATTGGCTTCACAATCCAGGAGGAAAAAGCAGAGGTAGCATGTGTGTTTGGGAGTTAAACAACTGAGGTATAAGCAGCCTATAAGCGACATAAATATAGAGTATAAAGTTTTAATTTTTTTTTTTTTAATTTTAGGGTTTTTTTCTGGTGGGTAATTCTTATCCACCTTATCTTCCAGCTCCAAGGATCTTTGCTTTTGGGAAGTATTGCTGAGCTACTTAGCTGGAGATGATTGCGCTGATATGTTTTTCCCTTTCTGTTTTGGAGAAAACATCATGGGAAGTACCAAACTAGTATTTTACAGAGCTGCTCAGAGCTGTGCGTGTCTGTGTGTGTGTGCAAGAGCAGAGCAAGGGGTAGAGGTGTCTGGGTGCATTTCACTCCTGAAATCCACATATGGGATATGCAATTTTTAAGTAGATAAGTGTAACAGCGGCAGATATTTAAAACACATGGGAAGATTCTGTTCTTAAAAATAAAGAACTCAGCACAGACTTTGTAAACCATGACAGCCACAACTGTACTGTCTCCTCAAAGGGGGCAACTTTGCTTTCACAAATCCATGCTGCCAGCCCTATGGCTTCCATCATCCCTGGATGGGGAGCCACAAGCAGGGCTTTGCCACTGCTTCAACCTCTCCTGTGGATTTACTGTATTTTAAGACAGCAGGTTCATAAAATCATAGTATGGCCTGGGTTGAAAGGGACCTTAAAGATCATCCAGTTCCAGGTTGTTTCCTGGCATGGGAGCTCTTTCCCTTCCACAGGCCCTTGGGGGCCACTACTCATTGGCAGTCAATGCACAGCAGGCAGACCTGGAACTGGAGCCTCCTATGGAGAAGGGGAAAGAGAGGGAAGAGAGAGCCCAGTGGGGAATACTCACACCTTGCCAGCAATAAGTTATCTGTCTCGTTTCTCCTCCTTTGCTATAACCAGGCAGGGAGGAGCTCTTGCGTGTCCTCTTCCATTCCAAAGGTGTCATTCGTGCTCCCCTGCTACTTCCCCCCCTTTTTTTATCCTGTTGTATGCTCAAGGTGACCCGGAAGGGAAAATTTTGGGTGATGTAGACTTTTGACCAGCTTAGAAGTAACAGCTGCTGCTGCTTTTGGTGCGTGTCTTGTCCCAGGGAGCCTGTGCTTGCATATCACTGAGGCAAGGGCGGCTGGCCAGTCCCCAGCACACACCTCTGCCTCCGGTGCTCCGATGCCGGCTCTGCTCCAAGCCTGTACCATAGCAGAGGTCTAATTTTTTTTCCCCCCATTTTCATTTTATTTGATCTTGCTTTTTGTATTCTGTAACGTGATCCTCGGCCCACGATCCGTGTGGTTTCTATACCGGTGTTTTAAACTTGAAGGGGGCACAGTATCTCCATTAAAGCATCAGGGCTGAGCATCGCGCACAGATTCTTCCTTCCCTCACGACGATACACAGTGGCTTTTTTTTTTTTTTTTTTTTTTGGGCGGTGGGGTGCGATTTTGAGGCAAAGCGGGGTGCCGAGGAGGAGAGGTGGGTGCAGGATTGATGAGGCTGAGGGAGCGGCGATGAGGCGGGTGCTGCCGCCTCACACGCGGGGAGCACTGGGGGGGTCCGGCCCTCCCCGGGACAGGCCCTCAGCCCCGCAGAGCACCCCCAGGTGGCCGCGCCGAGGCGGAGGCGGCCCGGCTGGAACCGGGATTCCAGGATTCCGGGATTCCAGGATTCCGGGATTCCAGGATTCCGGGATTCGGGGCTCCGGGACTGCCGGGCCGCGCCTGCGCCGCGCGGGGCGGGGCGGGCGCCGCCACAGCCGCCATGGCCGCGCCCAGGCACAGGCGCACGGCGCTGGAGCGCGTCGAGAAGTTCATCTCCGACATCTACTTCACCGACTGCAACCTGCGGGGCAGGTGGGCGGCGGGGAGGCCTCTCCGCGCCTCCCCCGGGGCGCCGGTGGGCGGCCGGGACAGCTCGCGTGTGTCCCCTTGGGAGGGGGGCAGCACCCTGCCCTCGGGCGCTGCCAGCTGCGGGACTCGGGGAGGGGGGGCTCGGTGAACACACACCAAGAGAACAAATCACACACAAAAACACACACTCCAGCCCTCCCCGGTCCACCAGCCTCTCTAACACGGCGCTTTACTACTCTGTGATCTGTTAATCCTGTCGAGGGTGTTGAGTAGCAGCTGGGGCAAACAGGGTGCTCCCTGTCCCACCCCCGGGCTCGCCCTTGCGGGACCCACCGTACTAATTAATATGTCCTGGCCGTCTTCGACCTCAGGCTTTTTGGGGATCGCTGTCCGCCGGCATCGCTCTCCTGCTTCCAGACTCCGCGGCGCATCTCTTACGATGAGGCTGTTTTGGGGCAATTCAGGCCGGCTGAAGTGGGGGAGTCCTTCGGGCCCACGTGAGTACAGGATTTCGGTGGTGCTGTGACCGGGGTGGGGTTGGAGCTCACGTCTCAGGCGTGTGTGAGTCCTCACGGGCTCTTAAATGCTGAGGAAAGGAGATGATGATCTCCTTCCCCCTGAGTGCTGGAAGGCGTCTGCCCAGAAGACCTTGGGGAGATTTCATGAGGAAACAGCCCAAGTTGTGTCAGTTTCCCAGGAGAGTGAAGAGCCCGGTTCGTGGATCCTTTCTGCTGAGAGCTGGTTGTGATCATGGTTGTGTCCCTGATGCTTAGGTGGGGGATGTTTGCTTTGTCAAGTTTGGGAGAAGATTTTTATCCCAGCATTGGTCAGACAAGATGCCACTGGCTGTTTCTCTGGGGTCCCAGAGGGGCATGGATTAAATCAGGTCTGTACGGACAGGTGGCATTGCTGCATTTGAATCCCATCAAACCCGTGGGCTGTCCTCACACAGCTTTCTCCATGGAGGCTCTGAGGAAGTGTGCTTTCCCTGGGGAGAAGGTCACACCGTGGGCTGTCATGCTGTCTTCCAGGTGGGAGACATGCTGGTTTAAGGTGGAGCTGAGCATCCCCCTGGCATGGGCAGGGCGGGAAGTGCACTTCGTCTGGGAGAGCGATGGGGAGGGCATGGTATGGCGAGATGCCCAGCCTGTCCAGGTAAGGAGGCTTGGATCAGGGGTGTGCCACCTGCCCTGCTATGTACAGAATGGCGACTTTTTACATCCCTGCTGTGCTGTGTGGTGGTGCCTGCAGGGTTTATGTTGCTACTGGGGCAGCAGCAGCAGCTTCTGTGCTGATTGTTCTTGTGGGAATCATTATCCCACACCGTATGGGACCAGACCCCTCCATCCAGCTGGACTTTGGTTGAATGTGCCATCTTCCTGTGCAGGGTTTGACTAAGGAAGGTGAGAAGACCAGCTACATCCTGACAAACAGCCTGAAAGAGTCAGAGCCCCACAGGTGGGTGGTCAGTCAAGCCAGAGCCCCTTGCCACTGTGTGAGCTTGGTATTGTTGGAAGACAGGAGGCCGGCGTGAGACATTTTCATCTGTGTCCTGGTGCTTGTGACCTGCTTGCTGAAGGTTTCCTTTTGGTCCCACAGCCTGACCCTGTACGTGGAGCTGGCCTGCAATGGGCTCTTTGGAGCTGGCAAGGGCAGCATGATTGCCCCTCCCGACCCAGACAGGAGGGTCACCCTGAACAAGGCTGAGCTGGTCGTCTTCAACAGAGATGTCTACGAACTGCTGGTAGATATGGAAATACTGCTGGACATGGCCCGGGTATGGGAGCTCCTTCTCTTCCCTTCTTTCACCCTTTCCATAACTTCATTGTATCTCCTCCTCCTCCTGCCATTCCATGACCTGAGACCCTGGAGGAGAAAATGTTTGCTGCTTCTGCTTTGGCACAATTGACTCTGTCTAGACTTGTTGATCCTTGTGGGTCCCTTCTAACTCAGCATATTCTGGAGTACGGAAAAACTGAATACAGCGAAGCCATAGGTGTTTTTTCATCCATTTTCTGCTCCAAAGCAGCATCTGTTAACCTGAGTCCCCTGGGATGTGCATATGTATAACCTTGATTTAGAAGCCGTGTGAGAAAAGGCATAGGGTTGTGTTTGTGAAGTAGGGACATGGTGTTTACCTGGTACCTCTGGCTGAGGCAGATGTTGGAAGGAGGTACCAGGTTCTCCCTGAGGCAGATGACATCTGAGCTGATACAGTGGCCAGAGTAAAACTGTTATGCCTCCCAACCCCAGCTTCTCGGGGAGGAAAACCAGAGGAGTTTCCAGGCACTGTACACTGCCAACCAGATGGTCAATGTGTGTGATGTTATGGACCCCTCCACCTTCCCTGCTGCCCGTGACCTGGCTGCTGCCATCTTTAGCCAGAAGAACGGCGAGAGCCAGCACACCATCCATGCCATGGGGCACTGCCACATTGACTCTGGTGAGAGCAGCACACACTCCCTCTTTGCTCACGTGGAGGCCAGGGCATGCTGCCCAAGGGGAGAGGGGGCTGCCCTTGGGCTTCAGGCACCGGGCACCATGTCCCGAGGCACACAGCTGTTTTTTTTACGGAGGCAGGGGAATGTGGGGTGCCCTTTGGAGCACTGGTGCGGCTGGGGATGAGGGAGGAATTAGAGACTGCCATCTTCCATCTGCTGGGCTTCACCCCTTGATTTACTGTCCTAGGGTGGGTTTCAGAGGGGTTCCAGCTCCAGGAGGAGCTTGTGTTGAGTAATAACTATGCCTGTCCCCACAGCCTGGCTGTGGCCATATGAGGAGACCATCCGTAAGTGTGCTCGGAGCTGGGTCACTGTGATCCGTCTGATGGAGCGCAATCCGGAGCTCACCTTTGCCTGCTCCCAGGTGAGTGAGCTCTCTCTGGAGACCTCTCCTCTGCTCATGGCATGTTGCTTCTCCAGCAAAAACAGGTGGGGGGCTGACCAGAAGTGTTGCAGAGAGGAGGGGCATGGGTGTGGAGCGGTGGCGGGGAGCTGAGGCTGATCTGTGTTCTCTGGCAGGCGCAGCAGTTTGAGTGGGTGCGGAGCTGGTACCCTGGGCTCTATGCACAGATTCAGGACTTCGTGGCCAAGGGGCAGTTTATTCCTGTTGGAGGCACCTGGGTGGAAATGGTGAGTAGCACGGTGAGCCTGGCTTGCCGCACCTTCTCTGTGCCATGCTTCTGGGACTGGGATTGGCACTGGCACTGGAGGGGGCAGCACGGCCTTTGCTGAGCCTGTCTGGTTGGTGATGGTCTCCAAGCCTAGGAACAGCAGCTGAAGTGTCTAGCCTAGCAAAAATGCAATCCTTCTCCCATATCATTCCCTGAAAAAAGGATCTTTGCACTCACCGAGCTGTGTTCCTCTTTTTTCCCTCTGCCAAGCTCTCTTCAGTTCCTCCCTGTAATCTCGAGGTCAGGTGGATGGGAATGGGAGTCTTATAAGACCTCTCCTTCCCCAGTGCCTGGCCTGCCTCACAGACCCCCTGTGCCTTCCCCCCAGGACGGGAACCTGCCCAGTGGGGAGTCCATGGTGCGGCAGTTCCTCCAGGGACAGCAGTTCTTCCAGGAGCAGTTTGGCCGAATCTGCTCAGAGGTACTTGTTCTTTTCCAGCACACCTTCCTTGCACACCATCTCCTTCCACTTGCTGCTGCGTGTGAAGTTTGCCTGACTCATGTGTCTCTCTCTCTCCCTCTCCTCCTGTTACTTCTCCTCCCAGTTCTGGCTGCCGGATACATTTGGATACTCAGCCCAGCTGCCCCAGCTGATGCGTGGCTGTGGGATTCAGCGGTTCCTCACACAGAAGCTCAGCTGGAACCTTGTGAATACCTTCCCGGTGAGCTGTGCTTCCCTTCTTTCCAGGGGATGGATGTGTGGATGCTGGAGTCTTCTGCAGGGCTGGACCTGTCAGTTCCACAGTCTTTCAGCTCAGCTAACACAGGCTCTGCTTCCAGGAGCCACCAGTTTTTGGTGGTAGCAATGTCCTGTCAGACTTTAGGGGAGGAAAAGGTCATGGTTAGATATTCCAGCTGGACCCCTGGCCTATAAATTCTTTCAGCTTCCAGACAAGGAGCTGTGACTTGTGTGCACATCCAACAGACAGTAAATCCAGCCTCTCCCTGCTGTCCCCTGCCCCTGTGGCATTCCCTGTCCTTGTGCAACTGTCTCCTTGCACTGATCCATCAGGGCATCCTGCAGCTTCATGGAGAGAAACTGAAGGCCCAGTTTGAATCCTCAGGGGCTCTGGAATGTCTGTCCCCTGTGCACCACATTTTCCTTTTGGTCTCCTTCCAGCATCACACCTTCTTCTGGGAGGGCATTGACGGTTCCCGAGTCCTGACCCATTTCCCTCCTGGTGACTCCTATGGGATGCATGGGCTTGTGGAGGAGGTGAGTGAGACCTGAACGTGAAGTTGCCAGCCCCTTGGAGCCTCCTGGGAGAGGGCACTGCCTGGGAAAGGAATGGGATAGCTGGCAGCATTGTTGGACAAAGGCTGTTTGGATGCCTGGCAGCTGATTGCCTGCTTCTCAGATGTGCCTGTGCCTGATTTTTGGCAGTTTGGGCTGGGAAGGAGTGGCAGAACTGGGCTTTGCATCCTAAAGGCTGACCTAACTTTCTTGTGGGAGCTGGGGATGGGTGCCAGGGGTATTGCAGCTGCCCAAAAATCCCTCCAGGTGCTGAAGACAGTGAAGAACAACAAGGACAAAGGATATGTGAACCACAGCGCATTCCTCTTCGGCTTTGGAGATGGAGGAGGGGGCCCCACACAGAAGATGCTGGATAGGATGAAGAGAATGAGTGACACAGATGGGCTGCCAAGGTGAGAGGAAATCTCCTCTCTCCTGGCAAGAGCACTTGCTTTGAGCCAGACCTGGCCTTCAGCAGTGCCAAAAGAAAGGGATCAGTGCCAAAAGAAAGTCTCTCTTGGCAGAGAGACAAGCAAGCAGAGGGCTGGGAGGGATTTTCAGAGATCTCTCAATGATCAAGAGCTGTAAGAACAGGTACACAGGGCAGCTATGGACTGCTTATGAGCCCTCAGTAGAGTCATGGGTCGAGTGTCCAGCACGGCAGCTGTGCCTGGCAGTCAGTCCTGTCTCGAGAATGTCCACAGGAGAGGATCAGGGGTCCCAGGAGAGCAGGAGAGGGGTAGGAGAAGGGTGAGGGAAATACTGTGTATAGTTATGTGGAAGTTTCTGAGGCCTTGTTTCCAAGACTGTCAACTTTCCAGAATGGGATGCAACATCAGCCATGTCCCAGGCTTCTCCCTGGCTCATCACTGTATGTGTGTCTCTCCCACAGGGTGCAGATCTCAACTCCTGACCAACTCTTTTCTGTCCTGGAGAAGGAGTCATCGCAGCTGTGCACCTGGGTGGGAGAGCTCTTCCTCGAGCTGCACAATGGCACGTACACCACCCAGGCCCAGGTGAGGGTCCCCACGCCCAGGCCATGCAAACTCATGACACCTGCAAGTAACCAACCTTCCTGCACTGGAGCTGGGTTTCTGCTGCTGGTGTGAGAGTTCTACTCCCAACTACTGATTTCCTGACACTCAGGAAATATATATATTTATATATATATATCTTCTTTATACCAGATAAAGAAGGGGAATCGAGAGTGTGAGCGGATCCTCCATGACGTCGAAGTGCTCAGCGCCTTGGCTGTGGCACGGGACAGTGTGTTCCAGTACCCTGCCAGCCAGCTGCAGTGGCTCTGGAGGTGAGGGAGTACAGGAGCAGTGGTGGTACTTGGAGAGGATTCAGTACTGCTGCACTGTATGTAGCTTACCTACCACTGTCTGTAACTGCTTCCATGAACTGATCGGGGATCCACCTGGAAAGCTTTCGGTGCTTTGCTTGATTCTCCCGTTGGAAGATATAACTTCAAACCCTCACTACTCTGCTGTCTGAAAGCTTCATTTCCAAACCTAAGCTTATTCCTCCCCAGTTTTGACTTGTCTGAACTTGTGCAACAACATATCTGGTAGCCTTGGGGGATAAAAAGAAATAGCTCTTACTCCCCATGGTTGTGCTTTACTAAGATGACAGCTGACAGGCCCTAACATAAAGGGATTTAAAGGGTGCTATGGAAAAAATCCTTTTCTTTGAAGTGTTGGCTAATGGGAGTATAAGGAACAGTTATTAAGTTTGTCTGTCTTGCAAACAGGGCTCTTGTTTGAGAGAAGAACTTTCTGGCTTGTTCTAAGCCAGAACAAATCCAGTGCTTTCGTATCCTCACCTGGGTTCTGCTCTCTTTTAGGTTATTGCTACTCAACCAATTCCACGATGTCCTGCCAGGCAGCTGTATCCAGCTCGTGGTTGAGGATGCCCTGCAATACTACACAGGTGAGCAGAAGTTTGGCTAGGAGGGCACTTTCTTGCCAGAGCACACTGGGTCCTGCCTGGTGGGGCTGCAGTGGTTTTAATCCTGGACTACCAGGACAAGCCTGTGCAGATAGGTGTCTGAAATAGTGTTAAATTAGCAGGGGATCCAAGGGATTGAAAAGCATCCCAATTTATTGACTTATCTGCTAGCTGTTGGCATGGCAGGATAGACCCCCACAAAGGTTTGCTCCTGCCTGCTCGTGGGTCCTTGCAGGAGCTTAGTTAACCAGAATTTTCCAGCTGAGCTGGCATAGCTCATTGTAATCTTGTAATAACGAAGTTAAGAATAATTATACACTTGAATTACTTACTAATAGATAATAATAATTAATGATAATTAGTAATTGTAGCTTGGCAGGAGATAAAGTGTGTGTACACTGCAGAGGAGCACCAGAAGCTCTCTCAGATCCAACTTAGGCCCTTTTGTTGTACAGAGATCCGCAGGATTGGTGCTGGGCTGCAGGAGGAGGCTGTGCAGTCCCTGTGCAGGGATCTGCTGCAGCCCAAGGAAGGGAGCACTGAAAGCACCCTTGTGTTGAACACTTTGCCCTGGGAACGCACCGAGGTGATCTTCAGGCCTGGGCCAGATGGAACAGAGACTTTGGGTATGTCTGACCTGGGATGATTCTTGGATCAGAATTTCCTACGGGGACAGAGTCAGCTAACAAGGAAATACTCCACCTCTCCCTGCCCTGGGGAGGGCTTTACTGGCAGTTCAGACTCTTCCTTGGACAAGTTGAAATGGAATAAAGTCCCCTGAAGTATGGATGAAGAAGAGGAGGGTATGAGAGGAGATGGAAGTTCTGATCTGAGAGCACTAGGGCAGCACAGTGTGACTTAGGTTTCAGTCTGGGGCAGATGCTGGAATAGAACCTCTTTGCTTTCCAGCTCTCGTGACAGTCCCCAGCATGGGTTATGCTCTAGTGAGGGAGCCATTGCTGCCCTCTCAGCCTGTGTCAGTGAGGAAGCAGGTAAGCACAAGGCAGTTTTCTTCAGATCCCTGTTCCCTGTGTCAAAGGTTGATTGGGGAGAAATCTTAAGGAATCCAGCATCCAGCAAATCCACATACTAAATTTGCAACTGAGGCACTCAGCTCCTGCAGTTGTGGGTCTGTGACACCTGTTTCTGGCCTTTTCCCAAGGAGGATGGCTCCATTACCATGGAGAATGGGGTGATTACTGTCTGCCTGGACAGGATGGGGCACCTGACCTCACTTCGGCTGCTGGACTCCGAGAGGTCTGTGTCACCCGGTCACTGGCCCCAGGCTCCTCAAACCTCTCCCAGGACGACTTCTCACTGTACACTCTTGTCCACTGCCAGTCCTTCTGATGCTGCTGTTCCTCTGTTCCACTTTCTTTCAGAGAGTCAGTCCCAGATGGCTGCTATGCCAACCAGTTTGCACTCTTTGATGATGTTCCCCTCTACTGGGATGCCTGGGATGTGATGGATTATCACTTGGAAACCAGGTAGAGGAGCAGTGCAGACAGCACTTGGATTTTGGCTTTGCCCTGAGATTCTTGCCTCCCTGTCAGTCCTAGCTGTAAAAGAGCATTCACTCTGGAGAAGTGAGTGCCTACTGTGTGGGAGGCTGGACTGGGATTTGGGAACCTGGCTCTACTAGGCTGAGACCATCTCTGCCTTCATTCCTTTGTCTAGGAAGCCAGTGACCACGCTGCTGAAGCCTCTGGAAGTCACCCTGGCTGGGGGCCTGCGGGGAAGTGTGAGGTTCTCCCTGCAGGTCGGGAAAAGCAGCACCTTAACCCAGGAGATCATCCTGGATGCCACGTGTCCATACCTCCGCTTCCTGACCCAGGTTTGGCCCGCGGCTGCTGCATGATATTCCCCCTCCTGTTTTCTTCCCTGGAACCCCCCACTGCCTGTCCTACTCTGCCTTAAGGGAAGGCAGGCTGAGGGTGGGGGCATTCCAAGGGACAAGGGTGGAAGAATTCATCCTGGTGCTGAGACTCTGGTGTGGTTTTATTGTAGCTTATGTGGGCCGGGTGCGAGCCAGCTGCTGCACACCAGGGACGGAAGAGTGTGGCTTCTGCCTGTCAGACCCCATGGTGATGCCCTTCTGCTCCCACATTTAGGTTGAGTGGAAGGAGGCTCACAAGTTCCTGAAGGTGGAGTTCCCTGTGCAGGTCCGGAGCACAAACGCCACCTACGAGATCCAGTTTGGGCACGTGCAGCGGCCAACACACTGGAACACGTCCTGGGACTGGGCTCGGTTCGAGGTGAGAGGGAAGGTGGTCTGGTCCCCGGACCGAGCTGCTCCTGCTCCTGGCAGTGGCTCTCTGTAGTGAGCCCATCCCTTGGTACCTGCTGCAGGTGTGGGCTCACAAGTGGATGGATCTCTCTGAGCACGGCTTCGGGGTGGCTCTGCTGAACGACTGCAAATACGGGGCATCAGCCCACAGGAACATCCTCAGCCTCTCTCTGTGAGTTACAGATGGATGAGGGGGGAGCTGCTGCAGGTACTTTATCTTGTGAGGTGTCTCTTGGAACTCAAGGCAACACCTGGTCCTAAGTGACCTTAGTTAATGAAGAAATAGTCTGATGGGTGTATCTTGTCTGAGAATGTGGCTGACTTACCTTACAACTAATTCCTGTGAGCTATGCTTGTAGATAATTCAGGAGAGATGAGATTTTTCTGTTGTCAGCCAAAACATACCCCAGGAGGGAGGGCTTAACGAGAGGGAGGGAACAGCAGTGTTAATGTTACAGGTGCATACAAAACTGAAACAAACTGCGTATTTCGGTTTGACTCAGCCACAATTTTCACAGGAAGACACCCAAGTTTTTTAGCTTCTGGGGCTGTCCAGGGTCGGTTTGCTGTTGCATGTTTGCTTCCACCCCTGGGCCCAGCCTCCAAGTAGCGAGGGGACCAACTGTCTTGTCACAGTGCTCTTCTGGCTCTATTCTCTGTGACAGTGGGTGCTGCCAAGACACCAGTCTCACTAACATCTTGTTGCCTCAGGCTGAGAGCACCCAAGTCCCCTGATGCCACAGCAGACATTGGGCACCACCAGTTCACCTACGCCGTGATGCCCCACCGGGGTGAGTGGCAGGCCCTGTAGGAGCACACAGGGTGGGGGATGCGACAGTGAGCCTTGGGGTGAGCGTGTCTCTGACTGTGCACGTGCAGAGGCTGGCTAGAGGTTCTCGTGATGCAGGTTCCTTCCAGGAGGCTGGTGTGATTCAACGCGCCTACAACTTGAACTTCCCCCTCCACGCGGTCCCAGCCAGCTCTGCACAGTGCCCAGCCTGGAGTGCCTTTTCTGTCAGCTCACCTGCCATCGTGCTGGAGACTGTCAAGCAGGCAGGTGCTGGGGTGGAGGTGGGGAGGGCAGAGGGGGTTAAAGGTGCCGTTGTTGAGCACGGCTTGCTCTTTCCCCCACACTGAGTGGCGGTTAGGCTCAGCTGAGCGGAACAACTTGGGTTGGAGAGGCTGTGCCTGTCTCATTTGTCTGAACTCCCACCTGCACTGTCCCCCAAAGGCTGAGGGCAGACCTGAAGCCGTGGTGGTTCGGCTCTACGAGGCGTATGGCAGCACGGTCACTGCCTGGCTCCAGACCTCCCTCTCCATTAAGGAGGCGATGCTGTAAGTCCGTGGACCATGCCAAAGGGCTGGGTGTGCATGGGGATGGAGATCAGTCCCTTCAGCCTCGTGTGCTTCCCTCCTCAGCTGCGACCTCCTGGAGCGGCCAGCTGCACAGGGCTGCCTGCCGCTGGGACAGCAGGGCTTGAGGCTCTCCTTCACACCCTTCTGCGTGCTCTCTGTCCTCTTGGTCTTGAGCCAGTGACACCATCCACCGCTCTGGCTGATGCTGCAGCAACCTGGACCAACACTGTGAGCTCAAATCACAGCCTGGGCCTCCCTCGATCCCAAGAGCTGTACAACACAGCAGTTCCAGAGCAGGGCAGTCTCCCCATGTCCCGCACCCAGCCCTTGGAGAGCAGTGCTTGAGAACCACCACATTCCTCAGGGAAAGGAGGACAGTTGACCACAACCCAACCAGGGCTTGAGTGCTGAGCTCTCTGTAGTGTGGATAAGGGTGTGGACAGCCTGGTAGCCCTGTATAGGCTCTGCTCCAGCCCCAGGAGCAGCAGCTTCCACAGTGGCTCCTATGCCTCAGCTTTCATTTTGTCTAGCAGTGACTATAAAAAACACACTCTACTCCTTCCCCCCTCCCTCTGCCTGCCCCTTGCACTGCCCTTGCAGATGGAGAACACAAATAAACATGAAAATTCCATCAAGCTCCAGCCTGTTTTCTTAACTTACTTCCAGGTAATTGCACTGACCTGCCTCCTCCCAGGTGCTTTGTTGTAGCTGCTGCTGCCTTCATGTCCTCCTCAGCAGGATCTCACTACTCCTGGAACTGGAGAGGCAGAGCTTACCTTTATTTTGGGGGAGGTGAGGTGGAGGGAAAGCCTGGTACAGCCCCCTGGGGAAGAGGCTGGGCACAGAGGGGTTATCCTTATCATGAAAAGTCATGCACAGTGATTCCTACACAAAATATTTTATTATTTAGTCAGCTAAAAACAGTGATTGGAGCAGCAGCAAGAAAGGGAAGAGAGAACCCAATTTTAGGCAGAGGGAAGAGTCAGAGTCCAGCACAATGTAAGGTCCTGGCTTTCCCCTCAGATGCCTCTGGACAGCAGGAAAATGCCCCGCCACCAAGCCCAGCTTCTCGCTCACGCACTGGCAGGATGCAACAGTAGCAAGCAGCTGTGAGCACAGGTAAAGAGAAGCTCCATTTGCCCCATCACTAATGCAGGTCCCTGGCCAAGCCCTCCCTGAGCTCCTCCTGGGCCATTCAATGCCCCTCAGGAGGTGGGCAGCAGTGGGCAGCACTCACACGGCAGGGACTGCACCTGAAAAACGGAGAGGGAAATGAGTCAGAGGGCGAGGGAGCATCTGGCTCTGCCCCACTGGCTCCTCTCCTGCCATTCGGCACCCCTCAGTCCCTTTGATACAACTGAGCACTCCCACAGCCCCCACTGGTGCACTTGAAAGCCGCAGGGGCTGCCAGCCTCACCTCTGCCCCTCCGTGCAGACATCCGGCGGCTTCTTTTGGCGTTGGGAAGCACCTCCGGCTCAGGCAAGGCTGGAGCAGGGGTCACTCTCCTCCTCTGGCGAGCACGTCCCTTCCCCGGCTCAGGCAAGGCTGGAGCAGGGGTCACTCTCTTCCTCTGGCGAGCACGTCCCTTCCCTGGCCCAGGCAAGGCTGGAGCAGGGGTCACTGTCCTCCTCCGGCGAGGACGTCCCTTCCTTGACCCATCAGCCACCTCCTCCTCCTCCCCTTCCTCCTTCTCATCTGACTTTGGGGGTGTTGCTGCAGCCCTGGGGCGCCTTTTCAAGGCACGTGAGGTGACCTGGGCGGACACCAGAGCTGCAGCTTAGCAGCTGAAGCGTGCTTGGAGCACCACAGAGGATGAGAAGCTCCATATGGGATCACCACCGTGAATTCAGGAGCAGCCTGAGCAAGGTCAGGGGAACAGGACAGCCAGACACAACCACAAAGCTCCTTACCTTAGGGGTCTGTGCCTCGGGGTCTGCCTTCGGCTGAGCGCGCTTTTTACGGGGCTTCTGCCCTGCACAAGAGGACATGCCCAGGTCAGGTGGGGTGAGGGACAGGCTTGCAGGGATGCTGTCCTGGGTGATGTGAGCTCAGCACTGAGAAACTGCAGGATGAAAAACCATCCTGCCAGTGCAAGAGCTGTGCCCAAGTAGGCTGGGATGCTGGTAGGAAGCCCTGGGGAAAATGGGCTCTGTCCCCTGGTGCCAATGGCTGTCACAGGCCTGTCAGCACCCCAGGGAGAGGGGCTTTGCTCCTGCCCTGTGCCCTTGTGCTATACAGAAAAGACAGGGCTGCCCAGTCTCCAGCCCTCCCAGAGCAAGTGTGGGTCCCACGGGCGGGAGAAAGGACACTCACCTGTGGGAGCCATGGGACCAGGCTCTCCCTGCAAGGAAGGGACAGAGCATTGACTGGGGTGCAGTCATTCTGCAGGCAGCAGCAGCAGAATCCCTGCTCCTTCTCCCTCCCACAGTGATAGGGAAAGAGCCACATTGGGAGGCCAGAAGATTCCTGCTTGCTCTGCCTGCCCAATGCATTGGGGACTCTCCTGTCAGTCCTGTTCCTGCGAAGTCACAGACAGAGGGCACAGGAGGTAGGAACAGGGCTCTAGACCTCATTCCCTCCATCTGCTCCAGACTGCCCACCATCCCTTGGCCACCACACAGAGGGTCCTTGTCACCTCCATGCCCAGCAGCTTGGTGGAGAGGGAGATCTCCAGCCACACAGAGTAATGACTGGGAATCTCAGCAATCAGAAAATGGGCTGGAGGGGTGGTTTGGGGGCCCCCAGCCCCAGGGAGTGACCCCAGGCTCCTACATGGAACCAGATGGTCCTGCCGTTGCGGTCACGCAGGGAGTTCATGCCAGGCACCAGGTAACACTGCAGCCAGTTCTTGAAGGCGGAATAGTTATCCGCGTGCTCGGGGTCGAAAAGCTGCTTCTCTGGGAAGGGAGAGAGGGAAAGGACAGAATTAGAGCAGAAGTCACGACCAGGGTGTCGGGATGCCCTCCCAAACCTCCTGATGCTGGGAATGCAAAGCCCCAGCCTCCCCCAGCTGTCCCTGTTCCCCGGCATCCTGCCCTGTCGCCTCACCTCCCGTGATGACCTCCATGGGCACGGTGTGGCACAGCTCCAGGAGATCCGGGTTCTTCTGCATCAGCTTCACCTTCTTGCTCAGTGTCATGGAAGGATCCTGCAAGGGTGGAGAAAGGGAGGGAAGTCCCCTGCCAGCTACTTCTGCCTCCTCAGGGTCTCTTGTCCCCAACAGCAGCCAAATTCTTTTGCCCTCCTGAGGATGAATTGCCACACTCTCCACACATGCCAGCCCTGAGCTCACCCCACTGTGGGTTTCCAACTTAGCTACAAAGACATGAAAGAGGGCTAACACACACAAACATCAGCAGTTTTAAAAACACCCTTCAGGTCATGTAGTTTGTTTTCAGGCTTCTTTAAGACAGTCATTTTAAAAGGCTACAAGAACAGCCTTGGGCTTTACTACAGCCTTCTCCAGAGATTTTAAGCTTGCAAGGTGTTTGTTTCCCTCACCTCTTACTCTTCACCCACCCCAAAAATATTCATAGACTTCTTGAAAGCAGAAGCCTGGCACAGCTTGTCGTGCAAAGGCCACAGGCAACCAAATCCCAGGTATGACATCTGCCACTTAATGAGCCTGTGAAAGCACCTGGTATTCCTCACCTTCTTCCTCCTCTCCTGCTTCTGATCCTTCAGGGCCTCCAGCACAGTCCGAGCCTTTTCAAAGGGAGGGATCTTCAACCTGAAAGAGTTACACACAAGCCTGAACCCTTGGTTCTGGCACTGTCCGCATCTCCCAGGTGAGGAGGCACAGCCAGCTTAGCCAAAGAGCCATCGAGCTCCAGCAAACTCTCGGAGATCAAACCTCCGTGGCGGGTCGGCGGATGCTCAACCCACTTTACCTGTACAGGATCTCAGCACGCAGGTAATTCCCAATTCCATTGAAATACTTCTGGTTTAAGAGGGCTTCACAGATGGGCTTGTCAAAAGCCTTGTCATCCAGGTTCCTCAGCACGTTCTCCCTGCAGCAGAGCACGGGGCAACAAGAAGACTCACCTGGGCACGTCCGTGCAGGAAGAGCAGTCAAACCCAAGCAGGGGGCATTCCTCCAGGGCGCTCACCTGAAAGCCTGGTACTCGGAGACGACGCAGGGCCCGCGGTCCTGCTGCCAGGCGTCCCCCAGGCGCCAGGACCCGAAGCGGCGGGCGTCCACGAAGCAGAGGGCTCTCGGGGGGCTCTCGCGGGTGAGGAAGCGGAGGTGGGCATGGCGGGGCAGCTCGGCGGCCGGGCACAGCCGGAACGACCCCGACATGCCAAAACGAAACACGAGGTCCTGCGGCGGAGCGGAGCAGGGGTCCAGCGCGCTCAGCGTCAGCCGCAGCTCCTTGCCCCGGGCGAGGGCCGAGATGCGGTAGGCCTCGCTGCGGAAGGGCACCTCGGGGCCGCGGCCCACTGCCGAGCGCTCCACGCCGCCCGTGAAGAGCAGCCCGCCGCACACGCCGTTGATGAAGCACCCGGCCAGGTGCAGCTCCGGGCACTCGGGCATCGCCGCCAACACAGCGCGGAGCCGCGGCCGCGCCGGCAGCTCCGACCGAGCGCGCCCGCCCCCATTGGCTGCGCGGCGGGCGGAGCGCGCTCCCATTGGCTGCGCAGTGATGCCGGAGCTTGTAGTCCTGCCGAGGCGGGAGACACAGAACGGACACAGCTCGGCTTTGTCACCCGGACTTTATTGAAGCTACCCCGAGGGTCCCCAGAAGCCAGGAGAGCAGGGAAAAAATCCCCCTTCCCAGCCAAAAGCACCAGATCCGACCCAGCAACTCGGCGTCCGTGACTCCCACCATGGGAGGCTGGCTCCTCAGAGAAGGGTGTTCATCAGGGTCTGGGCTTGCTTCAGCTCTGCAGAGAGGAAGGAGCTGTGGGGGAGCCACTACATCCCCCGCAGCATCCCTCCCACCACCGCCCATGGCCCTGGAGGTCCTCACTGCCACCCATCCTCCAGCCTCACCTGCCAACAGCACCCTGAACTTGTCAGCCGAGAGGGTCACGGAGACAGCCGTCGTTCTCCCACGCTCCCTGTTCTGCACGTTGAAGGTCAAATGCACCAGGGGCTCGTTGACTTCCTGCAGCTCACTGGAGCTGAGAGTGTAATCCACCCGCCAGCGCACCAAGCCCAGCTGGCTCACTGGGGTGGGTAGTGGGGGTGGTGTCAGAGCCCTGGCTCACTCCAGCAGGGTGACTGCCACCAACCCCCAGAACCCTGTTAAGACCCAACATCCCACTCACATCGAAGGCTACAGGCCCTGAGGCTGTCCTGGAGGGAGCTCTGCTTCTCCTCGTAGGAACGACACAACCCGCTGGCATGCTCTGCTCGTGAGGAGAGACAAGACAAGCACCCCGCTGCTCACACTAGCCCTGCAGTTGCCAAACCCCACCAAAGCACCTGAGGAGCCCCCGGGGATGGATGTTGCGGAAGGGAGGTGATGGAGGACAGCACTGGATGGATGCAGCCCGCCCTGCATCTGAGTGTGAAGGAGGCATCGCTGGGAACTGCGCTGGGCACGTCCCACCAGGTCTGGCCCGTGGTGCCACCCTGAGGGTCCCCCCTACCTTTGGGCAGCCCCAGCTGCTGCAGCTCACTTGACAGGGACTCGCTGTCCACATTGTGCTTAGCTGCACTGGAGAGAATGAAGCCAAGGACAGCGATGGTTGCCTTCACGTCCCCCGACTCTGCGGACAGGATGGAGGGTGAGTTCTGCCACCTTGGGAAGGTAACTCCAGCCAAATCTCTGCTAAGCCCCAGAGTGGGGCTCCATGGGGGGATCCCAGTAAGGACAGCAGTGCTCACCTAACTTTGCATCCGAGGTCAGCTTCAGGATCTTCTCATACTGCAGGAGAGCAAAGCGTCACAGTAAACACCAGGTAACACACTCTCTACCAACATTAATACTAATAATTCTTATCTTAATATTTATACTAATAACATTTAATATGCATAGTATTGCTACTAGTAGTGGCTGGTAGCATATTTAGTGCTGAGGCTGCATGAAGAATACGAAATTAATTAATTAATATTGCTGATTACGCCACTGTAGTGCTGAAACACTTGGCCTCCACCGCGGTAGCCCCGCTCTCACCTCCATGGGCTCCCCCAGGAGGTCCCGCAGCACCTGGGCGCAGATCAGCTTCAGCTTCACCGAGGACTGCGGGGAAGAAGGAGGGTGAGCAGCGGGCTCGGGGCGGGGAGGAGGCGGGCAGGGGGACGCGGGAGGCGCGGGCACTTAACGATTTTAGCCAGGGTGCTGATCTCGGCCAGCACCCAGTCGGGGCAGTCCAAGTCCCCGCAGAAGCGGAACCGCTGCGGGGGGAGAGGCGGTCAGAGCCCGCCGCGGGGCCTGGGCGCCCTCCCCCGTCCCCGCCGCCCCCCTCCCCACCATGTCGCCGCCGTCCCGCCGTGCCCGGTGCCGCCGCAGAGCCCGCCTTCCGACCCGGAACCGCTCCCGGCCGGGACGCCGCTCCGCCCTTCCCCGCCCCCTGCCCCGGCTGCCCGTGGGGGGCTCTGCGGGTGGCTCTGCGGGGGCCTTGGGACCCCGGGAGCGCGGCGGGACCCCGGGGCGGGGCGGAGGACGGAGTTCCCGGGAGCGGGGCCCAAGGCGACCCGCGGGAAGGGCCCCTCTGGCACGCCCCTCGCCCCGACCGCGGGAGCGCCCCCCGCCCTGCACGGCCGCGGGCTCCGAGCCGCGCCGGTCCCGGCCCGAGGCAGCCCCCATCCAGCCCGCCCCGGCTCGCTTTTCTCCGCTCCCTTTAATCACGGCCCGCCCTTTGAACGCGGCCGCGGACTCGCCGAGCTCTGCCCGCTCACCCTCCCAGAGGATCCAGAGGCGCAGCCCCGCCGCCGCCGCTTTGGGACCCGGCGGAAAACGCCCAAGGAGGGCGAAAGGAAATGCCCAAAGAGGGGGGCAAAATGCCAGATAATTTTCAAGAAGGGAAGGGGTCTCAATTTCCCAATGGAAGAAGAGGTTTATGAACGCTGCAGGAGGGGGGAAGGGGAAACAAATTCAATCCCATCTCCCTCAGGGACCATGGCAGGGGCACAATATAGTGCTAGAGAAAAAGTTTAGCCAATGCCACAGAGGCAGGTTCTGTTTGGGGGGGCCAAGGAGGAGTGTTTAGGTTTGTAATAGTCCCATTAACAACTCAGGATATAAGAGGATTGAAGAAAGAGCTTCCGTCTTATTTAGAAGATCCTGTAGGAGCGGGGAGCAGAATAAATGAATATTTAGAGAATGCAGATCACACTCGGAAAGATTAGGATTTCTTGCTAGGAATCCTGATTACAGAAAAAGCCTCTAAATGGATGACTAATGCACCATTGTTACAGTATGAAACTTGTCTAATAGAGCAAGATGATTTAGAAATCAAAGGTGGGAAAATTTTAATCCAACTCCTTGTTTAAACAAGGATAAGCAAAACCCCAAAAGAAAAACAGTGATTGCATTCAGGTAATAGATCTTCAAATACGAGCCAGAAGTGACCTAAGAGATGGTCCACTATCTAGAGAACAGAAAGTGTTTATTGATAGATCCTCACAAGTAATAGCAGGGAAGTGTTACACTGGGTGTGCTATAATTGAAGGAGAACAGTTAAAAGATTGTGGTCAGGGAAGTCTTTCTGATTGCTGGCACGATTTCTCTGAGAGAAGTAGAGGACGTTTTGAACTTTGGATCTTCACATGCCTTCGTTTTGGGGTGACAATGGTCCATTTACGCCTTTTTCTCGGGCCCTCTAGTGGGCGTTCCCCCATGTCGCCGTTTAACAGCTCCTCTAGGTGGCCCAGTGTACGCCCAAACCAGCCCAAAGTGCCGCTCTAAAGGTGACAACGTCCCGTCACTGGTCTCAGACTAAATGTGTCAGGACAGAAAGGTTTTGCTGACCTTCCCCGTTCACGGGCAAGCTCTTATTTGCACCACGCTCAAGTGGCAACACGCACTCCTTCTCAGTTATATGTGCTAATAAATTTTTTCACTCTCTCAGAATCCAGCAACAAAATCAAAAACGTCCAGCAAAAACACAGCTCGCAAAAATGCTAGGAGAGAAAGCTGTCACTGGCTCCACCTTCAACTGCACCCATTGAACTGCACCTCCCTTGCCTTGCCTTACCGACGCCTCTGTGTCCTTGCCTTCCCTTGCCTACCCCTCCCTTGCCTTGCATTGCCTTGAATACCATTCACTTTCTTGAGTTGCCTGCCCCTTTCTTGCCTGGCTTTGCCTTGCCCTGTCTTCCTCTCCTTTGACTTGCATTGCCTTGCCTTCCTGGCCGCTCAGTGTCCTTGCCTTTCATTTCCTACCCCTCCTTTACCCCACCTTACCTTGCCTATCCCTCTCTTGCCCTACCTTTCATTGCCTACTTCTCACCTACCTCACCTTGCCCTGACTACCACTCCTTTGCTTGCATTGCTTTGCATACCTACCCCCTTCCTTCCCTTGCCTGCCCCTTTCTTGCCTGGCCTTGCCTTGCCTTGCTTACACGTCCCTCCCCCTGCCTTGCCTACTCATCTCTCCACTTGACTTGCCTTCTCTCCTGCCTTGTTTACCCATCCTGCTGCTTCCTGGCCTTCCCTTCCCTTCCCTACCACTCCCTCGCCTTTGCTTGCCTTCCCTGATCTTGCTTTACCTTGCTGTGAGGAGGAAGGGCTTGAAAGAGGAAGATCTGATGAGGGGGTGTTTTTCTCTAGTTGTTTTCGCTCAAGATAAGTTTGCAGCTGCAGATGCTAAGAATGTTTTTTCAGTGTGGAAATTTTCACACTCTGTTTCCTTTGGGTTGTTTTCTGTCTGTTGAGAGAAATGTAATTCTCTCAAGGAAGATAACAGAGTGTTGTTACAGACTTAAAAGCATTCTTTCCTGCAGGCTTTGGGGGAAGGGATCCAAGAGAGAAAGGTTTGAACTGTAAAAGCAGCCGGGTGACCCATGGCTATGGAGAAAGTTGGGGACTGGGGAGGTCATGGTGGTGACTCCCCACATTTTGGGATGGCCCAGCACCGAGCACCGGAGCCCTGTGGCTGCTTTCCTGGTGATGATGGCTCCACTGGAGTTATGGATTGAAACGGATGATGGATGGCCTCAAGAGAGGTCTTGTGTGGCTTCATCCAGAGGTTCAGATGCTTTCAGACAGGCATCCCTGGGGACAATGATCACAGGGAGGAAGTGCAGCCCCTCACAAGACCCATCTGGAGCATTTTCCAGGGCAAACCTGCCCCTTCCTATCAGCTGCACACTCACATGAACTCAGATGTTTACCTGCAAGGTCTTTTGCTGGAAGAAAGAACCACCTGGTAATTGAGCAGCTTTTCCAAGCTTCCCCATATGAAGGGGAAATGTACCAGGAGGTGGGCAACAAATAGGAGGGAGTCAGCTCAGTTTGCCCAGGGGAGGCCATGCTGCTACTCCAGGGAGTGCCAGCCCTCTGGGGATGCCCGTGGATAAGCTGGGATACCTAGAGCACCCATCCACATAGGAATAGCATCTGGGAGGAAATATCCCAGCACCAACACAGCATGCCATGG